GACCCTGGAAGCTGCTCTGAGGTCTCCACGCAGCTTCTCTTCTCCAGGCTGAACAGCCCCAATGTTCTCAGCCTGTCTCCATACGGGAGGTGCTTCAGCCCCTGATCATCCTCGTGGCCTCCTCTGGACTTGTTCCAGCAGCTCCATATCGTTCTTATACTGAGGACACCAGCCCTGCACACATTGCTGCAAGTTGGGTCTCAGTAGAGTAGAGGGGCAGGATCACCTCCCTCGACCTGCTGCTCATGCTCCTTTTGATGGAGCCCAGCACACAGGTGGTTTCTGGGCTCAAGCATATACTTAAATGGCCCATGTTCAGTTTCTCATTGACCAACACCCGCAAGTCCTCGACAAGGCTGCTCTGAATCACTTTTCCACCCAACCCCTAGCTGTGCCTGGGATTGCCACAAATATTGGTAGCATTTAGGAGATGGATTTCATTTGACAGGGAAAGACAGTGAAAGAGCAGCTTTCTCCATCCTTTTCCCTGCTACTGCTGAAACTTTGCCCCAGATTGAGTTACAGTGGAGGTCTTCTCATTCCTCCTTTCTTTTACCATTTTGTCCATACAGTGCTTAGCTTGAGGAAGGGTAAATGGCACTTAAGGAGCATATCATGCCCTCTTGAAACAGAGCAGCTGCAGAGCTGAGTGCTGTGGAGTTGGAAGATGGGGGGGAGTAGAAAGAGTGTAGTGTCTCCAGCAGTCTGGTATGAGGGCATGGGTGGGATGTGACACACATGGTTATGCTGGCCCAGTGTATGGGCTGAATGTCATCTTGTGTACGTACTAGGCAAAGAAAAAAGTTAGTTTGCATGAAAAAAAGCTTAATGAGGAAACAAGGGAGAGCTTGGGCTTTCTGCAATGATGCGTTTCTTGTTTTGCATTTCAGAACACTGATCCTAAGTCATCTGTGAAAGGTGTAAGCAGTCAGCTTGGAGAGGGGCCTAGTGATGGACTGCAGCTGTCCAGTAGCCTTCAGTTTCTTGAAGATGAACTTGTGTCTTCTCCTTTACCTGATCTTACTGAGGATCAGCCTTTTGATATTCTTCAGAAGTCCTTGCAGGAGGCCAATATTACTGAACAGACTTTGGCAGAAGAGGCATATTTGGATGCCAGTGTAGGTTCTAGCCAACAGTTTGCACAAGCTCAGCTTCATCCTTCTTCATCAGCATCCTTTACTCAGGCTTCTAATGTTTCTAATTACTCAGGTCAGACGTTGCAACCTATAGGAGTTACTCAAGTGGTACAGCAACCTGTTGGAGCATCTTTTGCAAGCAATACAGTTGGTGTGCAACATGGCTTTATGCAACATGTCGGAATTAGTGTTCCCAGCCAGCATTTGTCTAATAGCAGCCAGATCAGTGGTTCTGGGCAGATCCAGCTAATTGGTTCATTCAGTAATCAACCTTCCATGATGACCATTAATAACCTTGATGGATCTCAGATCATACTGAAAGGCAATGGTCAACAAACACCTGCAAACATGAGTAGTGGCCTCTTGGTTCATAGACAAACCCCAAATGGTAACTCGCTGTTTGGTAACTCAAATTCAAGTCCAGTAGCACAACCTGTAACTGTTCCGTTTAACAGCACAAATTTTCAGACGTCATTGCCTGTCCATAATATCATCATTCAAAGGGGTTTGGCACCAAACTCTAACAAAGTACCTGTTAATATCCAACCAAAGCCTGTCCAGATGGGTCAGCAGACTGCTTACAATGTGAATAACTTGGGAATACAGCAGCATCACGTACAGCAAGGGATTCCGTTTGCTTCTGCAAACTCACCTCAGAGTTCAGTAGTTGGTCCTCATATGTCCGTTAATATTGTTAATCAACAGAACACAAGAAAATCAGTTACCCCTCAGACAGTCAGCAATGCTGGAGGTAGTATTGTTATCCATTCTCCTATGGGACAGCCTCATGCACCTCAGAACCAGTTTCTCATACCTACAAGTTTGTCTGTTAATTCTAATTCAGTTCATCACGTCCAGGCCATAAATGGACAACTTCTTCAGACTCAGCCTTCCCAGCTGGTTCCTAGCCAAGTGTCTGCTGAGCATGTAATGCTCAACAGGAACTCTACAAACATGCTAAGAGCCAACCAGTCGTATTCAGGGCAGATACTGAATAATCAAAACACAGCTGTTCAGCTTGTTTCTGGCCAGACATTCACAGCTCCTGGAAACCAAGTCATAGTCAATCATGGAACCTCACAGATTGTGGGTGGACAGGTACCGCTGCAGCAGGCGTCACCAACCGTGTTGCATTTGTCACCCAGTCAAGCTAATGTTTCTCAAGGTAGATCGAGTTTTACCACGATGTCCCCTGGGCAGTCTGCAGTCTCCAACATGTCAGCTTCGAACCGCTTTGCTGTTGCAAGTTCTTCTGGGTCAGTACATCCTAGCTTGGGACCATCAGTTCAGTCTGTTGCATCAGGAGGAAACTTCACTGGAGATCAGCACACACAGAACAGAACTCAAGTTCCCATCAGTGCATCGCATCGTCTTCCAGCATCCTCTTCCAAATCTGTCAGCACCTTCAGTCACACGTCGGTGGGAGTAACACAACAGCAGTTTGCTTTTGGTCAGGTATGAAAGCTGCTTGAGAATGTAGCCAAAGAAATGCTTCTAAGCTGTGCTAAAATGTGGTTAACAAAGGATTCAAGTTGGTGTTCATACAGAGAACGTGAATTTTGTTGGTGTGTGTTGTTACTGTGGAACTGCTGAACTTTACTGTAAGCCAGAGACACAATTTCACTCAGTATTTCCTAAAGTCACTGAGTGAATGAGTCTGTCACTTCCATTAGTGCAGAAGAATTTGCTGGTGATTTATAGTCATATTTTCAGAACTGGATAGCACTGATCTATTTCTGCTTCCATTTAAAGGAACTGATGCTCTAACGTTACGCTGTGCGCTCCCCTGAAAATCTTAACTGGAGAGCTAGATGTAAAGGCTCAAGTACATTCTTAGCACTTAGAAGTCTTTTGGCCTCATTAAAAACTGTGTTTTTAAGGTTTGGCCTATTCAAATTAGAGATGAAAAGGATTCTTGGGCTTTTCTTTGTTATTTACCATACTAGTATTTTGCCTCCCGTAGTTCTGTGTGTCTGGAGCAGTTACAAGCAAAGACAAGGCAAGAGGTGTTCCTTAGAATCCCTAAAAGGCAATACCTCTTAAAGCTGTTTGTAAAAGCATAACAGTTACAAAATACTGCTGCTAGAAGAGGTTTACTTAGTAATAATGGACAAAGCTTTCTGAATTTACTCTGAAGGAGAGAACTGGGCTGTTTTTCAGCAGTGGATGCAGCTGTATGTTCAGCTCAGGTTTGTCTGCTTTCAGAAGTGAACTTCCAAACACTGCCAGTGTTTAACTCAGTGACTTATCACAGAGTTACTCCATTTCTGTCCTTTTTTTTCTTTTTTTTCCCCTCTTTGCCATTATAAAATACTGATAAGAACTGTCTCAGAATGCATTTGCACTGGTTATTTTGGGTCTTTCTGTTTTCCCAAAGGTCACTTTTCTTAACCAAGACCAAAATGGGCAATGAATTAAAGTGTCTTAGAAAATAGTGTATTTAGAACATGTTGCAGAACCACGTTTTTACTCTTGGCCCAAACTTCTAGTGCAGGTTGTAATGTTTTCTTTGCACGTGAGTAATGTCAGGCCCATCTGACTTTATCCTCATGTGTCTACATCTTCCTGTCTGTAGGATACATGCTGGGTCAGTGTGTTCCAGCAGTTACTGCTGTAGAAGATGAGCTGAAAATGGGAACCAGAGAGAACAATTTCTACTGTTTACCAGAATTATTGGAGTCTGTTTGTACTTGCATTTTAGATGTCATACTGTATTGTACATCAGCCATGTATCATTTAGGCCCTAAACTCTGGGTAGCTTGTGCTGCTGTGTATTTTTTGTTTGAAGACAGCTTATTTAGTCACCTTGAAGTTCTGAGACTCTCAAAAGCTGAGGTTTTACCAACTTATAGCAGGAGTTCATAGGTCTTCTGGAATAGAACTGGCGTAGATTTGTACTTTTAGTGGCATTTATGTTCCTCCCTGATCTACTTCGTAAAATTCTTGAACTTAAAAGGAAATGGGCTGCCTGAAATTTCACCACTTAGGAGTTTGAGGTTGCAAAAGCATGTGTAGAGCTGAATTTTAGTTGCCTTTTTTGCCTTTTCCTGTCTTTGTTAAAGCTTTCAGTAAATATTTGACTTGGTTTTTTTTCCCCCTCATGTATGTGGCACAGAAGAAATCTCTGAACCAGACATCACCAGTTTCTGCATCGAAGACACAAGATAATTTGAGACAGCCTCAGCTAACAAGTCTCCTGAGCAACACACTATCAGGTCAACTAAGGTCTTTTTAAAATCATTTTCTTAAATCTTCTTCAGCAACAGAAAGTGGTGGTTCTTCAGTATGTCAGACTTGCATTGATGGCTCATGCTGGCAGGGTCCTAGAGGTTATCACAACTTTCTTTTTAGACTACATTTTCTTTTTAAACTACATTTTTCAATATTGAATGTGTGCTTTTCTTTTTCCTAACCAGGGCCCTTCATTTTATAGAGTGAAAGGTTGAATTTCTGTAAGCAAGCATTCTCCCTTCTATCAAATCCCAAATCGTACCTTCTTTCATTTTTCTTACTTTTTTAAGTTTAGGAAAATAGAAATAATTAGTTTTCAAAATCTGGACATCTGCTAAAAATTCTGTGAGACTCCTAGACCCTCTCTTGTGATTGCTGCTTCAGATGCAGAGGAAGGAAAAGCAGGATTACAAGGTTCTGTGCAGGCTTGTTATCACTTGATTTGGTACTGACTTTGTCACATTCGGTTAGGCTAGTTAATGCTTTGTTCATGGCAAAATAGTGGGCTTTTCAAGCAGCACCATGCTGCTAAAAGAACACAGAATCACAGAATTATAGACTGGTTTGGATTAGAAAGGACTTCAAAGCTCATCCAGTTCCAACCCCTGCCACAGGCAGGGACACCTCACACTAGAGCAGGTTGCTCCAAGCCCCTGTGTCCAACCTGGCCTTGAACACTGCCAGGGATGGGGCAGCCACAGCTTCTCTGGGCACCCTGTGACAGGGACTTACTGGTTATACCTAACCTATACCTATACCTATATCTAACCTAGATATAACCTTGGTTAAATGTAACCTAAACAAAACCCATATGTTAAAAGTAAGCAGAAGAATTCAGTAACCTTCATGTTTTCTTTGTACATAAGCAACTCTTTTTAATAAGGTCCCATAATCATTTCTTCCATTCTGTACTGTTTGTGCAAGCTGTCCAGGCAGTTCTCTACAATCAGCACAGTATGGGGTTTTGAGGGAAAGAAATGTTTGTGTTGGTTGTGACATGGCATGACTGGTAAGATGCTGCTTGAATTCCTGAGCAAGGCAACTGGAGGAAGTCTGGTCATCTAGAAAATCTAGAGAGGAAAAAACCCAACGCCCCCCCCAAAGAGCTCTAGAAAAACTGGGTTTATATGCTCAAGGGAGGGCTAGTACTTGAATTGCTTCTTACATTGCAGTGCTATGGTAGAAGATGATTTATATGTGGGATTTTTGTAGTTTGCAGCAGAAAATACCAGTCCTGTTTCATTTTTGTGAGCCCATTTCTCTACAGGGTAGTTGCACTAATGCTTTTAAGAATGAGACATGTCTCTTTCTCCTAAAACTCACGTAAAATGATCAGGGTAGGTACATGAAATTACTGTGTTCTTGCTTAGGATGACAGAGTCTTTTTAACATATCTTTTATAGGACAGGACTCTGGAGGAAAAATTGTGCAGCAGTCTCTAGGATCAGCACAACCGCAAGAAAAAGTAATAGGATCATCATCAGTTCAACAGAGCATACAGGTAGAGAATACTTCTGTTCATATGCTTTCCTTTCCTTTAAAACTCTAGTGCTGTTAGGGATGTTACGAGTCCATCTAGGAGTCCTTGCAGTTGTTTCGATTTTATGAAGTCACTCAAGCTTGTCAAACTCTCCCTTGATCTAATGAATGTGGAGTATTGTGCAGATTTGATACTCTGCATGCTGCTTTGAGATGCAATTCAGGCAGTGAAGTCTGACTGCACTGCTTCCTGAAGATAAGTTTGTATGCTGTAGTAATTCTTCATTAGGTTGGACAGAAGTTAGACCTGCTCTTACCACTTCTTGCAATGCAGTTGTTCTCTAGCTGTTGGAAAGGGGCTGGTTGTGAGAAGTAGCAGAAAAACTCCATCTGCTCTTTGTCTGTTTTGCTTTTTACTGCATTGTTGTCTTTTTTCCCACTACAAGTTCTGTATAAAAACAAAACACCCCAGCCAGGGTTTGGGGGTGAAAGGGGAGGCAGCTCTTTTAGAGAGGGAATACAGGAACTTCAGGAGGGAAGAGAGTTGGACATTCATGGACTGAGTAGGGTTTGATGTAGGCTTAAAACGTGGGCTTTGTGGTGGCTGGAACTACAGAATCATGGACAAAAATGAGGATCTGATTTAGAATTTTTGTTCCTTGCTGTAAGTATCTTGGTCAGTGTAGTTGGACATGAATGTTTTCCCTTTCTTACTGATGAACAAGTAGGGCAGACGAACTCAGTTGTGAGTTCAGCCTGGTTTCTAATTATTGGTTAGATGTTCATTCTCCTGTGGTGGTGAATCTGTTTTATGCTCCGAAGCTAGAGGCTTTTGGGCCAGCAAGTACCATTACAGTGTGTCTGCTTTATGCTGTCCTGCTTTGCTAAGAAGGATGCTTCTAACCATGTTCAAAAGAGCTTTCATGCAGTCGTCTTTTAAATCCTAAGTAACTTGTGCTCTGTGCCCAATTTCATTGGTAAAACTAGTTTTGACTAAAAACCCCCAACAACTTTGTATTAACCAAAGATTCTTTGTTCCAGAATGGCAACTTTGGGAGAATACTTGGATAGCAGTAGTGCCTTTCACATGAGCATTTACCATGTTAGAGAGCCTCATTTCTTAGGACAACGTTCTTTGAAAAACCTTGGCTTCATAAATGTCCAAGGAAAGGAGAAGATGATATAGATCTACCTGATGGGTGTATCTATAGCATTGACACTGAAACAGAATTCCTAGAACTGCTTTCAGCCCCTACCCAGCCACCATGGCTTGTGAGAATTCAAGTCCCCAGCCTTAGCCTGCTTTCCTGACAGATACTCTTAATCCATCAAAACCAGGCAACGGAAATCAGCTGAGAAAGGCAGAGGCAGTTCTTGAGAGCAGATCTCTTTGGAGAAACTTAGTTGTACCTTTTCGTCTGCTACATTTGATAACCAGCCTCTTTCCTAGTGAAGCACGTATATGCACTGCTGTGGAATTTGCCTACCAACAATATTACAGACTTTTGGTTTGTGGAAGTGACTTCTCTATTTCATTGATACAGTGCCCCAGCAAAATAGGAGAGAGTTGAAAGTGTTTATACTTCTGTGGTGGTTACAGTTGGTATTGGTGATCATCAGCAGAAATCGATGCTGAAACTTAGCCTTTGCAAAAGAGGGGATATATTGTAATTTGTCTTTTATTTTGAATTCAGGTGGACGGTCATTTAGTTGGACAGAAAAGGCCTGCTGCTAAACAGTTAACTAAAGGAGCTTTGTAAGTCATTCTTCTTTAGTAATTTTATTGCAAATGTTTCCTCTAACCTTCATTTCTTGTTAGTTTTTGTTGATCTACAGACTTCTGTTAGAGTATGTTAGTTATGTATCATTAATTTTCCTTCTAGTATTCTCCAGCAGTTACAGAAGGATCAGATGCATGCTGTGACACCAGATAAAAGCCAGTTCAGATCATTAAATGATGCAGTTCAGAGACTCCTTTCATACCATGTGTGCCAGGGATCGCTGCCAACAGAGGAAGACTTGAGAAAAGGTAATTTTTTTTCTCTAAAAATAGGGGCTAAGTTTGTAATTGGTCTGTGGAGAGAATTACTTGTGTAAGTTGAAGGAATGAGAAAGGGCACATGTTTAAATGTGTGCAGGTTACTGAAGAACAGTGTTTGAAAGTATACTCTTGTCTTTCTAGTGGACAGTGAATTTGAAACTGTAGCTACACAGCTTCTGAAGAGGACACAGGCTATGCTGAACAAATACAGATGTTTGCTTATAGAAGATGCAATGGTAAGGGGTGTAACCCAGGCACATTTTATGTTTATAGGGTGTGATTCAGTTTGTTAAAAAGGATGTCTAAAGGAAGGTGAGAGCTAGCATTGCCATTCATGTTGTTGATACTGTTTATCACCTTAGGAACTGATGAATATACAGAAAGGTTTTAGAGATATATATATAGCCAATGTACTTGTTATTGCACCAGCAATCTCAGTGGCCAGGCTGCATTTTGAAGTGTGTAAACACATCTTAAAACCAGTGAAATGGGTTGAGTCTGTATTTCATGTGCTGCCCTAGGAAGGGTGCTGTTATATGTAAGTTCCATAGACGTTGAAGTCACATAAACTTCTTGGCTGCTTACCCTTTCCTGTTACACTTAACAGCTTGTGGTAGGCAGGCAGGTGATTTCTCTGTATTTCTGTAGGTGACAGAGCCTGAAAGAATGTTGAAAATCTCCATTCAGATGTCTCCAGCTGTATTCTAATTGGAGCTAAATCATAATATGATTTAGGCAGTCATTACTTCTCCTTAGAAGCTAGGTGGAGCGTACATTTTTCATAAGGAATGCATCTGGTTTAAGTGCTTTCACAATCCCAGGCGTGAGGTAAAAACAAAACTGACTGAAGTTACTTTAAGAACATATTTTCAAGGATCAGGAAATACCATTGTGGCTTTAGACATGTTAGTTTTCAAGCCTGGTAAATGTTTGAGTTAGAGTATAATAGACATTTAAATCACTCTGCTTTAGAGACAGGAATATGTAATACAAGTGTTAGAATTAATATCAGTTTAGAATCTAGCAGTGCCATTAAAAGATACTAACCATTAAATACTTGCAAGTAGTTGCAGGTGTAAAGCAGGGATGGAGGTTAAAATCTGTTCTTTTAGCATCTGGTGTCTTGTATGGTAAATCCCATTCAGACATTTTGAAGAGGTTATTTCACAGAGTGTTCAGGTTTGGATCTAGTTGCCTGAATTCATGGCCAGTGAACTTTCCTCTGTGATGGATGGATTCACCTGGTTTGAAGGCAGTGCAACTCAGTACAAACTAGTTAAAAGAACGGAAGAAAAAGTGCAGAGAAGAAACAAGATGATAGGGTGGTCCCTTTGCAAGATTTTCGCTGGGTTTCTCTCTAAAAGAGAAAGCTACTGTATGGTGTAAGAAACTGTGGTGCAAAGTGGTGAACACACTTGGTCCTGAAGAGGTACAATTCTTACAATTGGAATAATAATTCCCTGTTTTACAGTCTTTCAGCAAATACAGTGTACCATGAAATGAGAATAGTCATTTACAGTTGAGTTTCAGTGGTGGTTGGGGTCACAGGGTTGTTGAGGATGCTGTGGAATTGTGAACATTCTCCTCATCTCTTTAATGAAAGAACATTTCTTTTTCTCTGAAGAAGTAAGCAACCTATAAATGTCTTAATCTGATACGGACATATGAGTGACTACAGATTTATCTTCTTCCCTGCAGCGGATAAATCCCTCTGCAGAAATGGTTATGATTGACAGGATGTTTAACCAGGAAGAAAGGGCATCTCTGACCCGGGATAAGCGTCTTGCACTTGTGGATCCTGGTAAGTAATAGTTCACTTCTGAACTGTACAAAAGCAGTCTGAGTATGGAGTGCTTACAAATAGTTGTGGGCACAGTGAGGCACTGACTGCTTGGGATTCCAGTAGCTGAAATACTGCATAAGCAGTTGCAGGTGGAATGTTAACAACTCCCCAGTTCAATAGTTTAGAGACACTGTAAGGGTGAAGGAAGTTATTTTAGGAAAAAATGTATTTGGCTTGTTCAGCAGAGAAATATTCCTGAGTTTCTTTTGACAATAGTCATGACTCCTGCACGGACTCAGTTCTAGTAAGGAAAAAGCTGTGAGTTTGCTGGCAGGCAGAAAGAACACCCTTGTCTGAAGCATAAATACTCTTGCTCATCTTAACACAGTGTTGCTTTTGGAATGGCATGCATTAAATGGCAGCATTTTTAACCAGACTGTTGTTGAACATAACAACTAGAAACGCATTATTTGTGTAAGATAACAGTTAGTTAAGTGTTCTGCATATTCTGCATATATTAAAAGCTATTCAGAGGATGGATTGAAGAAAGTATTAGTCTTCCAGATGCCATATTTGCATGTTTAGAATGCAGGGAAGTGCTCTTAGTCTGGTTTTACAGTGCACATATGTGCATAGTGTGCTGTTTAATTTGGTTATAATCTCCCCTGGATGCAGCAGAACACTTAAGCATGTGTACATCTCTTAAAGGCATGAATCTGTAGTCCTGGGTGTTATTTGAATTTAGTACTCAGAAGCTACATTGGAGTGCCTGTTATTTTGATGTATAGGTAATTGAATGTTGCTGCTTACTTTTCAGATGGTTACCAGGCTGATTTTTGTTGTTCTGCCAAACAATTTGATAAAGCAGTTGAAGAAGCACAGTCCAGCAAGAGTGACCATCAGCCTAGCAAAACATTATCTTCCCGAAGTCAGACTACCAAAACCCAAGCCAGAGACCGACCAAAATCCAGCTCAGCAGAGTCCACAAATCACAGTAAACTTCCTCTAGTGCCTAACAACGTTGTGACGCCACAAGAAGGAATAGCTTCTACTAAAAAATCAGAGAGCCTCACTAAAGCTTTAAAGCTTGAGAAAGCTAACTGTTCTTCTGAGGGCCAGTACGTGGCCCTCTCTGAAGAGAAGACAGCCGGGAAAGATCTTGCCAAGTCCACAGAGAATTCTTCAAGTTCTGAAGACTTGTCAAAAACCGTGTCACGAGCCGCTCCTGGGACACACAACAAAGTAACAAGGAACACAGTTCAGTCTTTCTCAAAGGTAACGTGTAATAATTCCCTCCAAGACAAAACTCTGAGGAGCTCTCCAAAGAATGAGGTTTTACATCCTGATAACAGGAAAGGCTCTGGTGAACCCCAGCAAGACTTACTGCTCAGTAAGAGTTTAGAAACTACATTTAAAAACATCTTGGAACTTAAAAGAGGTGGGAGACAGTCACAGAATGAGGCGACAAGTAGTGGCTCGGTTGAATTAGAATTCCCTAATTTTTCACCTATTGCTTCACAGGAAAACTGCCTGGAAAAATTTATTCCAGACCACAGTGAAGGTGTTGTAGAAACTGACTCTATTTTAGAAGCCGCTGTAAATAGTATCTTAGAGTGTTAGTAGTTCCAGTACCATGGACAAGTGATGTTTCTCGTAGCAGAAGCAAATGTGAATGACACCACAAGTACAGCCTGACGTGCATTTAAGGTTAACCTTTCTAAACTAGATTCTGTTTGGTGTTTGAGAGCAATACTCATTGTGGTTACAGTGAGAGATCCAAGTAAAGTTAATCCTTGGTAGAATGCAGTCTGTTAGGGCCTTACTATTTCAAGTATTATTATGCTAGTGCTTTTGTACTGCAACATCAGAAGGTTGCAGGTTGTTCGGCCCAATGTAACACGGTAGTATACTGACAATCACAGTCATTTGGAAGGATATATTTATTAAGAAAGTGTTTTTAAAAAGCGATGGAAGCAACAATTCTCCCCTACCCTTCTCTTCCACACGTCATCCAGTTTTTAGTTATTCTGGGAAACCCGCTGTACCTCTATTCAGAAGATTTGCTTTGTTGATGAATCTGTGTTCTGGGGTTCTTCAGTTGGAAGGGTATCATCAGTGTGTTTACAAGGCTTCATAAGTTAAACTTAAAGTGCTTTTCTATTGCTTTCTGAGCAGAAACTAGTACTTGATATATTTGTAGTAGGTAACTTTAGTCTGTGGGATGGTATTATATGATCTTAGTCACAGTGGCATGATATGAAGTAATAAATGCTTGACTAAGGAAGGTAGAATGGAAGCCAGGAAATGGCGAAGTGTACAGGATGAGGCCATGCTAGAGCCATGAATTTATATATATAATACATATATCTGTTAACTCTTGAGGAAAAGATTTTGCATTTTATAATTGGATGTAGTCAGCCTCGAGTCTTTCTGAAGTGGTAAAACTGTTCTTTTTTTTATTTGTTGTTTGTTTTTTTATTTTAGACCAAGTGTCAAAAGCACTTTTATTTGAGAACTGTTCTGATATTTGTAGCTTCTGTTTGAAGAGGACATTAGCCTTACTCTGATTCAATTTGAAGGCCAGTGTTTTATTTTTCTGCTTTTTGCTGTCAGAGAATGTTAAACCATCCACCGTAGCAGTCATCATGATCAAGAGCTGTACAGACCAAAGTCCATCAGCAATCCCAGTGTTGAAACATATCGCCGAGTGTGTAATGATTCACTCAGATTTGTAGAGCCAAGGGAGACCATTGCATGGTTTGGATTTGGCTTGCTGTCATGTTTTTTAAGATAGAATCTTACTATTTTATTTATTTATTTTAATCTATGACTTTTTGCTGCCCATGCTGCTTTTTCCTCGTTTACTTTGGTCACGAGTGCTTTTGTGCACTGACACTTGTCACGTGCGTGTAATACATACGTCTGCTCAGGAGGATCTAGCTTTTGTGGTTTCTAAAGGTATGCTCACGTTCTCTCCCCCCAGACTTTCTTCTCCACAGTTTCTTAGAAGAATTACCAGCCATTTTCCAGACTTGCTGATCACAACTTTCATGTTAGAGAGGCTCATTGTGTCAAGCTGTGGTTGTCAGTCAGATTGCCAGGAAAGAAACCAAAAGGTTTTGCTGTCGTGTGATTCAGTCCAGCTGAATAGCACAGAAGGAAGCAGGATTAGATCCTTGTGACAGGAGAAGATTACAGTGCAGCTCAGTATTGAGCTGCAGTCCACTGTCAGACCACTAAAGGAAACCAAATCTAGAAAGCAACGTGAGAAAGATGAACTTCCTTAAAATTCATTTGCCCTTCAACGTGAATGGAAATACTGGGTTTGTGTGTTACTAATTGCCATTTAAAAAAGAAATGTGCCAATTTTGAAGTACCTGTTTGTAAAACCCAACATTCCCAAGTGTTGTATAAAATATTCAAGGTAATAATAAGTATTGCCAGTTTTAAATTTTTAGTTAGGTGTCCATAGAATAGGCTCTCAGACATTGAGTTGTTTCCTTATTGGCAAAACTGACACTAGAAGTCTTCACCTATTGCCTTTTTTAGTTTTAACAATGTGCTCATCGCTGTGTATCCTGATGTGTGTTTTATTTGGTCATTCTGGAAGCTGAACTATTCTAAACTGTCTAGGAAGGGAAACGGGAGGTTACACAGCTCTATGTGAACTAGTTACAGTTTTCTTTTACAGGGAAAAGGCAAAAAAAAGTCAAGTTGCACATTGATTGATCCACTTGCTTTTTGTACCGCCTCCGAATGGGTACATGGGGTTTCCAGCCTCTCGACAGCAAATACATAATTGAAGTCTCAGACTATGTGTCTTCTGTTGGATATCATTTGGGGATGGGGGACAATAGCATAGAAAAAATGTCAAATTCCAAGAAGTAATCATGGTTGATTTGGTCAGACACATTTCTCTGAACTTCGGAGAGGAACCCATTGAACAATCCGAGCAAGATTAATGTTAGATTTGTTGGTGTGCTGTTGTTCACTCCTTTGAATTCAGTTCTAAAGGAATTCTGGTACGTGGTGAAGCAGTAAATGACAGAAGTGTATTTTTGTGGTGCTTTAAAAAGAAAAATACGAATTTATAAATCATATGGGCTCACGTCCAGCAAAGTCTTGTGAATGTGCATGACTTTACAACATGTTTTCATTATTTTGCTGGATCCGCATTGTGATTTCAATGTTATTTAATACTGCCTAATAGTAAAACAAATTTTCAACTGGCAATTAAGAAAACTATGTTCATTTTGAAGATTTTAGTCTAATTTATCTGTTAGATTAGGGAGGCCTTACAGACTGACTTCACTTAAAGAGGATGTGTCACTTATTGTCAGTGTGGTATGGACTTTATTTGCTTAAATACCTTCATTTGTAAAGTATGTCTCACTTGAAATTGCTTTGTATACATTTTGTAAAAATATTTATAAAATGTTTTGTAAAAAAAGAAGTATAACAAATTGCAGTTTATTTTGTTATGTTGGATAAATACTGTTAAAAGACACAAGTCAGTAAATATATTGTTAATCCATGGATAGGAAATGTTTAGTTGGAGATTACAAATTGAAACAACCATTGCAATACAGCCAAAGATTTGGGAAAAACATGTCTATCTGTGGTTGTCTTGATTTAACCAAGTTGAATATTTACATGTCCAAAAGAGGATTGTTCTCAGTTGAAGTCATATGGTTGCAAAATATCCTTACTCTTGTGATTTTTTTATAATGCAGCCCTGTTATAAAATACTGAATAAGCCAACTTCCCATACTCTTCATGAATGTTTCTGAACATTCCCTATTAGGATTTGGTTCACGTGGCATTGTAACTACATCTAGTAACGTTGATCTTCAGATCACAAGATTGCCAATGGTTCTGCTCCGTTGCCATTAGGAATCTTGCCATGGTGAGGTTGCTGTGACACACTCTTCTCCTCCAGCATGTTTCCACGAGGTAGAGGCATCATCTTCCCGGTACCTTTGGGAGATGGAAGAAACGAGAGGAGTTGTGTTGGTCAGCTGGCCACCTCACGGGTTTCAGAACTGTGCCCACTTGTATTTGGTTATAGATCCCTGTGTTTGCAAGTTTGCCCATTCCTTCCTTGTTTGGCTGTGAGAAGAGATGACAGTTGCTGGGGATATAATGCTGCTTCCTACTTCTGAGGGGTGATGAACCTTTCCTTGCTGTGATTGAATTTTTCAGAAAGCATGCAGAGGTTCTGCTGTAGTAAAGTTCTTATGCCCGGAACGTCAACACTTTATTTTTGGAGGCTATGAGAATGAAGGATTGAAGTGCACTGCCTCTCAGCTTGGATTAGGGTCTGCAGTTGAAAGGTAGAAAACTTCATGGTTAGTATTCGTTATTTTGTCAATGAGACAAAATAAACATGCCTTCTGAATACTTCCCCCATGGATTTAGACAGTAACACAATAAAAGCAGTCCTGTATTATTTTGATCTCTGTTTGGGTTAGGATGGCTAAACAGCTTGGATTGGTTTTTCTCTTTATCCCTGTAGAATTACCAGGCAAACTTTCTGGGTTGGGAAACATTTGATGTGCAGTTTACCATGCAGCTGTCTTCACTTTGGAATATCATTCCATTACAAGAACATGGGGTATTGCTTTTAATTGCCTTTCAATAGCATTTTAATGGTGGGGATTGTTAGGTTTATTCCAACATTCAGAGCAGGATTTCTGAAGATTTGGGCATGCCTGCTAATGCATGGCTTCTTTCAGAAAGTCAGAACCCCTTTCGCTTTGAGGATTGGTACGAACTAAAGAAAGAATTGCCAGAATAATTTTGGCACAAGGAAAGGTGTGCAAGGAATTTTAAACCTGAGAGAAGTTTCTCTCTTCTTCAGGAACTGTTTTATTTATAAGCCTCTGAGTTTTTCCTTTAGAATTGCACACACTTTTCCTTGGAATCCTCACAAGGATGCGTTTGTCAGCTTCAAGAAATGCAAGAAATTCTCCTCATGACTTTGGGGATCTGCTGTCACTTTGGTCAAGGAAAGTCACTGCAGAAAATGAGCACGTTACGGCGGAGGTCTGCAAAGCAGCACGCTCTGGTGCACGTACAATACACTGTGCACAGACTTCAGTGCAGCAGTGGTGGGTATTCTGAATGACTTGTTCAGAGTGGATGCATTGGTGTTTGTGCTACTGGTCTTGCAACCAGTCATCGTGCCGGAAACGGAAATAAAATCATCCATAATAATGTGTTGCAGCAAGCAGGGAGCTTCTTGGTAGCTATCACAACACATGATTATGGATAATAATAATAATAAGCAGAAGCTTGCTCTATTAGGGAAGAAAAAGAGAAGAGGACACAATGTGGCCAGCTGAATCAATATTTCTGGTGTACAAGCAAAAGCCTCTGAAGTTGCCCTGTTGTGTGCTGAGCATAAAACCCTGCGCTTTTTTTTCCTGCTTTCTGGAATGTATCGCTCAGTCATAATTGCTGCTTTTGCTCTGCAGGGGTTTGTTGAGGAATTTCTTCCAATTCTATTTATTTTCTTGAAAAGGGAATCGTAGAATCATTATGGTTGGAAAAGACCCTTAAGATTGTTGAGTCCAGCTGTTAAGCTGCCGAGTCAAACGAGGTATTCTTACTTGAGGTAA